TTTCGTGTACGAGAAGCAAAGAGAGAGTGTCTTTATAAAATGGAGTTGAGAAAAAACAAGGGTATTATAGTCAAATTTTTGTAAGAAAGTGTTATATTCATATATGCCTGCGAATAAGTGTTGTAAACACAGTCTACAATTGAATAAAGTGATATGGAGGTCCATTTTTTCAAATTTGTATTGTATAAGAAATCCTAAATTCTTTACACAAATCAAAAATATTTAGAACTTCTATAATAGTAAAAAGATCAATACTTATAAATAATTTTAATTTATATAATATTAGAATGACTTTTTTGTTTTATTATTTTTGTTATGCTTTAAGCGAATTATAGTTCCAATAGCCATGGCTAATAAAATGTTCAACGAGAGAAAGAGTTTAAACATATATATATGCAAAACGGATTTTTTTTTCGAAGAGACGTAACCCTTAAAAATAACCCATAAAGCGGTTATTTTGAAAAGACATAACTATTGACAAAACAGTTATACTGAAAAACATAACTTTTGGAAACAAAAATCATAAAACGGTTATTTAGAAAAGATGCAACTATTGACAAAACGGTTAAAACGAAAAGATGCAACTTTTAGAAATAACCACCAAACGATTTGTTACGAAAAGACACAATCCAAAAATATTTTTTTTTTTTAGGATTGGTATTATATATAGATTTCTCAAATTTTAACAAATAAATGATTTGCAATGGTACTTTAATTTTCCTCACCTTCCAAAGTGTATTTAATTCAATTATATTTATTATCCTAACGATTTTTACAAATTATTTTTATTCTTTGTCTGACCTTTGCAAATTGATTTATTTATCTATGAAATATTCTCATTATATATAGTATGTAAAAAATCAGAAATGTTTTCGTATCAGGTTGAAATATTAGAATCTCTTATGGAACAAAGAGAAATGTATAGTTCGATAATGCTAGAATAGAAAACAAAACATTTCCTCTTCTAATCTCTTTCAATAAGTGGAAACTGAAAAATAAGTAAAGAACAAATTAAATAATCTGATAGTAGAGATCACCATCGTTATTTGGAAGGAAAAACAAACGATAAATAATTTAGTTAAAACAATTTAAAAATCCAAATCAAAAATACATCATCTATAAAGCTAATATCATACGGATATTGTCTATCCGACAATGTATTTTATAAAAAAAAAACTAGATTAAGATCCACGTAAATACGCGGGTAACCATATTAAAAATTATTCAAAAAATATTTAAGTTTTCATTATAACTCGTTGAATTACTAAAATAGTTTGAAATACTATTTAAACACATATCTTAACTTTCACGTTGTAATTCATATCATGTGGATCCTAAAATATATATAGGTGTAATTGAATTCATATTCTTAATAAAAAAATATTAATATATTTTAACCCGTAATGAATATATATTAATTATGTGATAAAATCGTAAAACAATTCAAATAATGTAGAGTTAACTTAGGAAATAATAAATTTAATGTTAATAATGTCATAAACCCTATAAGATTATTTTAATAATAAATATTTTTTTTTATTATTCTTTTAACTTGTATAATTTTCAATTTATATAATTTATTTTCTTAAAACACTGAAAGTACCAATACTGTCTTAAGTCGAAGAATTCTATTTTTTTAATATTCTATAATTATGTTGAAAAATATGTTTATAGATTTTTGTGTTCTTTGACATGGTTGTGCATATCTTAAACTTTTATATTTAGATTTTTATATCTTTTCTAATTGTTTTTTCTTTTTCAGTTTATATATCCTCTTTTATTTTATGATTCATATTTTTCTTTTATTCTCTCTATACTTTTTGCTTTTTTACTACCTATTTCTTTCTAAGTTACTTTTTTCAATTTCTATTCTCTCTCTACTTTTTTATCTTTTACGATTTATTTTTTCTCTATTAGTTTAGACTATTAGAAAATTACTGCTTTTTAATTTCTATTATCTCCCTATTTTTTTTTTTTACAATTCTCGACGTTCTTTCTTAGTTTCTTTTTATAATTTGTTTGAACTATTATAAATTTATCGGTTTTTCTAATTTAGTTTAGAATTTTAAATTTTTTTAATTAGTTTGGACTATTAGAAATTTTCTTTTTTAGTATTTGGTTAGTAATTTAACAATTATTTTGTTGATTTTCTATTTTAAATTTTATGTTTTCTTAATAAATTTAAAGTGTGAACACATATCATCATCTCAATCGGTATTAAACATGATCTCGTGAGTTACAATTTTACCTACGTGTCGCATTCTCATCAAACGCATCCAACTAAAGATCTATAAGAACAAAATACATAATCTATAAAAAAAGTGGGCCAGATTCTAATACGAAGCCCAACTCAAAAATGAATTTTATAAAAAATCTCTCATCTTTATAAATTCGGGATTTTTCAAATTTCACGTTTGCTCTGAAAGAAGAAGAAGAACAAAAAAAATGAGTGCTTGTTCATCATTTTCACTACCGATTCTGTCTTTTACAGAGAAAGCAAAATCTTTTTCGGAGATTCAACAAGCTCATGCCTTTATGCTTAAAACCGGTCTTTTTCGCGATACGTTTTCCGCGAGCAAGCTTCTTGCTTTCGCAGTCGAAAACGCAGAACCCAAAACAGTCTCTTACGCTCATTCAATTCTCAATCGCATCGAGAATCCAAATGCTTTCACTCACAATTCCGTTATCAGAGCTTATGCTAATAGCTCTGTTCCTGAGATTGCTTTAATGGCGTTTCGTGAAATGCTTCTTCTTGGTTCTGTTTTTCCTGATAAGTATAGTTTCACTTTCGTGTTGAAAGCTTGTGCTGCTTTTTGTGGGTTTGAAGAAGGGAGACAAATTCATGGACTTTTCTTGAAGAGTGATTTGTTGTCTGATGTGTATGTGGATAATACGTTGGTTAATGTTTATGGAAGAAGTGGTTACTTTGAGCTTGCGCGTAAAGTGCTCGATGGAATGCCTGACAGAGATGTTGTTTCGTGGAATTCGTTGTTGAGTGCTTATGTGGAGAAAGGTTTAGTGGAAGAAGCTCGTGGGTTGTTTGATGAGATGGAGGAACGGAATATTGAGTCTTGGAATTTTATGATTTCGGGTTACGCGGCTGTGGGATTGGTTAACGAAGCGAAAGATCTTTTTGATTCTATGCCGGTGAAAGATGTGGTTTCTTGGAATGCAATGGTGAGTGGTTATGCACATGTAGGTTTCTACAGCGAGGTTTTAGAAGTTTTCGATGAGATGCTTAAGAATTCGACAGAGAAACCTGATGGTTTTACTCTTGTCAATGTCTTATCTGCGTGTGCTAATCTTGGATCCTTGAGTCAAGGTGAATGGGTACATGTTTACATCGATAAGCATGAGATTGTGATTGACGGGTTTTTGGCTACAGCTCTTGTGGATATGTATTCGAAGTGCGGGAAAATTGATAAGGCTCTTGAAGTGTTCAGAGCTACTTTGAAGAAAGATGTAAGTACATGGAACTCGATGATCTCGGGTTTAAGCGTCCATGGTCTTGGAAATGATGCTTTAGAGATCTTCTCAGAGATGGTTCATGAAGGTTTTAAACCAAATAGTATCACTTTTATCGCTATTCTATCTGCCTGCAATCATGTGGGATTGTTAGACCAAGCTCGCAAACTTTTTGAAACGATGAATAGCGTTTATGGGATTGAGCCAACTATTGAACACTATGGTTGTATGGTGGATTTACTTGGTCGGATGGGAAAATTTGAGGAAGCAGAACAACTTGTGAACGAGATTCCAGCAGATGTGGAGGCTTCGGTTCTACTGGAATCTCTTCTCGGTGCCTGTAAAAGGTTTGGTCGAATAGAACAAGCAGAGCGTATAGCCAATCGGTTACTGGAATTGAATCCACATGAGAGTTCAGGTTATGTTCAGATGTCAAACTTGTATGCCTCTAATGGAAGATGGGATGAGGTTATGGAGGTGAGGAAAAAGATGAGAGCAGAAAGAGTAAACAAGAAGCCTGGATGTAGCATAATTGAAGTCGACGGGGTTGTTCATGAGTTCTTAGCTGGTGAAGGATTAATAATCGACTAAACATGGTAAATTTCAAACAAATTGTTTCTTACTCTGTCAAATTTTATAGAATTGGTATTTATTTTAGTTAAAACCAAGAAGGATGAAGTTAGGGGAGAGTTACATCGTAGACGCGTAAACTATTCACAAAATCAGAATGATAAATCATGCACAGATCTTTATTTTACTACTCTGCACCAAAATAATGAAAATTCAAATCGTTATGAACCTGCTGAAAAACCTTGATGATCATGTCATGATATTCATCTGTATTGAGTTTTAGATAACAAACCAGAAGCTCTTTGAGTTCTTCAGGGTGATTGATACCATTCTCCATGATCATCTCAATCATTGAATCTCTAAAATCCTTCTGAGGATCGCTCGAGCATTTCACTACTGCAAAACTTTCACTCTCTGTTCCCTCATCTTCTGTTGCTATCACGAGCCCGTGCTCTCGTGCTCTTAGTTTAGCTTTCTTCAAGTCTTCAATAGCTTTAACTCTGCATTTTTCAGATGCTCTTGGTGAGAAAACTCTAACCTTGCTGTTTTCTTTTGTTCCTACTTTGTTTAACTCTCTTTTTATGTACAGAGATTTCCTCTGTTGGTCAGCCTTCAGCTTCACTTCTCTTAGTTTTATTTCCTTGAGCTTTTGCCACTGAGGAGCCGGTTTTGTTTCGGTATGACCAAGAACCACAGAATCCTCTCTACCGTAACTTATGGTACCTGTCCTTGTCGCTGGTTTTTTCGCCTTGACCTTTGCGTCTTGTTCTGATCTCTTTGGCTTTTGTTCGAGAAGCCTTTGGTCACGTCTCTCACATCTCTGCTTATCTCTGTTCACCTGAATTCTTGGCGTCATGATCACAGTTCCTTTGTCTCTATCCGTTGCCTCTACTTCCACAAAACCACGGGTCTCTCTTTGGAAATCTCTTACTTTCTTCCTCACACTGCTCATAATCTCTTCAAACTTGTCATTTGCCTCCATATCTGCTAACCTTGTTGCAGCGTTCTCCTTTTCTACTGATACTCTCTGAAACCTTTTGCTGCTCTCATGAACATCATTTCGACGTTTAGTAGAACTCAAGGAAGATTTTGCAGACATGTTCTGGCTAGCTTCATCATCTTGCTTCTTTTCTTTTGCAGGTTTCAACTCAGAAGAACCACTTAACTTTGAAAACCAAGAGACAGGAAGAGCACGAGACAACCCCGAAGAAGAAGAAGCAACAGGTTTCTTCCTTCCCCATCTCATCATTCCGAAGAATCTGAAAAAAGCTTTGTGCTCTTTTCTTTTTACCGGGTTTCTTAAGCTAGAGTTATGAAAGGAGATGAGAAAAATGGAGAGAGATGTATGTAGAGCTTACTGCTGTTATATGGTTAGGTCTTTGTGTTTAATAAGGAGAGATTTGAGATGTATATCTTAACGGGTAAATGCTAGTTGTAGTTTGAAAAAAGAGAACCAAACCCGCCTGAAGAATCCTGTGACCACTTTTTCTTTAATTGGTTTTGCAATCTCTGGGTATGTTCTGGAATTTAAACCAAAGTAGGGGACCAGTTTTATCAATCAAAAACCAAACTTCATTGATGACAAAGACTTAGGCTCTCTCTCTCTTATTTCAGAGTAACGTGACCGATCCAAGAACCACAAGAATCATCCCATCTTTTAGTTTGCAGTAGCTGTCTCTATTCAACATTAAGTTCTTAGCTCAAGGAATCTATCTATTGGCTTTGCAATGGTTACATTTTACATGATTACATATTTACATCCCTAGTCATTTTGCAAAACAAGTACATAGAATTAACCCGAAACTCGAGTTTCGTCCAACATTAACAATATGATTGGTACCGGTCCCCCGGTCTCTATGGTCCTAGTCTCAGAGATATTTAATCATGAAGAAAGTTTAGTTGATGGATTTAGATTTTAGAGTTATCTGAAACTAAGAGATTTTGTGAGGTTTTGAGGAAAATGTGGTCCTGGTTTTGGAAGAACAGCTAAAATCTCTCCATATGGATATATCACCTACCTTGAGGTATGGTTTGTGTCATCCACCACCAACTTGTTCATGATTTTAATTCAATTCTAATATAATAGTTTTTCTTCTATATACATCAAAATAAGGTTTTTATATTTATTTACATTAGTTTGATGTTTCTCTTTTATTGTCAAGACTTGGGATTGAAGCAATTAGCAAATTCACCATTTTCAGGCTCTTCTACTTTCCTATCTGAAAAGGAATAAAAGAATAATACCCCATGCTGTATTTATTATATCTTCTCACTAA